GTGCAAATACTGCTAGCTTGCACATTTGAATGAGATTTTAACAAATCACACATGTATAAAACACATCCAAATGAACCACACCTGTGTAAGACACCTGAACCAAACCAGAGTGGGACACATGTGAATCACACTGGTGTAGGACACATCTGAACTACTCAAGTGTAGGACACATCTATACCGCATGGGTGTAGGACACACCTGAACCACACTGGTGTAGGACACAGGTGAACCACACTGATGTAGGACACAGGTGAACCACACTGGAGTGGGACACATGTGAACCACACTGGTATAGGACACATCTGAACCACACCTGTTAGGACACATCTGAACCACACTGGTGTAGGACACATCTGAACCACACTGGTGAAGGACACATCTGAACCACACCTGTTAGGACACATCTGAACCACACTGGTACAGGACACATCTGAACCACACTGGTGCAGGACACAGGTGAACCACACTGATGTAAGACACATCTGAACCACACTGGAGTGGAACACATGTGAACCACACTGGTATAGGACACATGTGAACCACAACTGTTAGGACACATCTGAACCACACTGGTGTAGGACACATCTGAACCACACTGGTGTAGGACACGTCTGAACCACACCTGTTAGGACACACCTGAACCACACAGGTGCAGGACACAGGTGAACCACACTGATGTAAGACACATCTGAACCACACTGGAGTGGGACACATGTGAACCACACTGGTATAGGACACATGTGAACCACAACTGTTAGGACACATCTGAACCACACTGGTGTAGGACACATCTGAACCACACTGGTGTAGGACACATCTGAACCACACTGGTGTAGGACACATCTGAACCACACCTGTTAGGACACATCTGAACCACACTGGTGCAGGACACATCTGAACCACACTGGTGAAGGACACATCTGAACCACACTGGTGTAGGACACATCTGAACCACACTGGTGCAGGACACATCTGAACCACACTGGTGCAGGACACATCTGAACCACACAGGTGCAGGACACATCCAAATGAACCAGACCTGTGTAGGTTAAATCATCAACTACACTTGTGAACTACACCAAGTGAACTAAACATAGTAGATTGTGCAGATTATGAAACGATGGTATGCTGGAACAGACTTTGACAGGCTATTTTTGCTAAGGTAGATAGGTATGAATTGTATTGAAGCTTGGATGTCCTGGAAGGTCTATAGATATTTCTGTAATGCCTTGCTGATTCATCTGTATGAAACATGTAGAAAGGAATGCCTTTAGCATGTTTTACAATTGAATTTGGGAATTTGTACATAGTTTAACTACTCCAGTGTGGGACCGAGTGGATTAAATCTTGGTGTGGGTGAAGTAGTACAAGGATGTTACTATGACAGTATACCTCCAAGAGCACTTCTGGATGGTGGGTGTTGTTACAAATTGATTACATGTGGATGACTTGAGAGAATCTCTGATCCCTGATAAGTCAGGTACCCTGAGAAACCAAGGACTCACCAGTCCCCTGTTGTAGAGACAGCCTGATTTGTTCATGATATCAACATTCTGTGTGACAAAGTTAAACCCAGGACTAGTGTACTAATAACACAAACCCAAGACACAAGTTAAACACAACAGTGGGGGAGTTCATTAAAATTGTCCCATAACTGAAGACTCAGATTACTGTTTCATATATCAGAGATTTTCAAGTTAATTTAGACATCATAAACATAATCTTTTAAATATTCTGCCTGGGAAGCATGTTTGATCAACTCGAGGTTGCCTGGTGCATGTCTGATAGTGAATGTGTTAGAGATAAGATTATCTCCTAATAACCAAAACTATTCAATTTACGATTTGTATATTTTGATGAATATAGTTATAGATCCAATGTTTTCTATGTGTCTGTGTGGTTTCACTAACACTCAGGTTGTCATGGCACGACACATACCAGTCATATTTGTTGTTAGGTATCTAACCAGTCACTTATGGTCATAGTGATTGACCAGTAACTGGTCACATGTGGTGTAAGGTATGATGACCAGTCATGGTGACTAAAATGTGACATATGGTGTTAGGTATGGTGACCAGTCGTTTGTCATCACGGTGACTTATGGTCACATGTGGTGCACTGTATGGTAACCAGTCACTAGTTGGCATAGTGACTCACATATATGGTGTTAGGTATGGTGACCAGTCACAGGTAGTCATAGTGACTAACTGATCATATGTTATGTTTGATACAGTGACCAGTCATCAGTCATCATAGTGACTAGCTAGTAACATGTGGTGTTTGGTATGCTGATCGGTCACTGGTCTTAAAGATGACAGCCTGGTCATATGTATTGTTAGATATGGTGACTAGTCGTCATAGTGACTTGCTGGTCACATGTGCTTTGTAAGGTATGGTTTAGTGACAGGCTGTGTTAGTGACTTACACTTTGGTCGTAAGAAGCTTGGCATTCACCAGTTGGCAATCATATCCCTGTTTGCTTTACAGATCAAAGGAATTCAATATTGACAGAAGAAAGAATTATAATATACTCAAATGTACCTTTGGTAATAGTTTAATGTTGTCTTGAAGACTAAATTACAGCATTAGACATACAACAACACTGGCTGAGAACTACTCACAATAACACTTACAGCTACTAGACTTACATGTATATAGCTTAAATCAGATCATCCCCATTCCACTTGTAACACTTAGAATGTTAACTCATACACTTACAGTAAAGTTTATTAACAAATATGATTAAGGTATAATGTCTCAGGAATTCATTTTATCTTCAACAAAGAAGAGTTTCAATTTCTTCTGCTTCACTTACTGCAGAAAATAGTTATTTTCAGAAGACTTTTATTTATTATGATTTCCTCTCTCACAAAAATATATCTCCACTGCCTTGGAGGTTCACTTTCAGACCTGTCAAGGGAGTGGGAACTCTTGGGAAAATCAAATGTGTGGACTTTTTGAGATGTCATTCAACCCGTCGACATAAGTCTTTCAAATATGTGCTCACCTGTACTCATCCTATTTATTCATTGTCTTTGATACATCGTAATAAGCCTTGAATGACTTTCTATTGATGTTCGACTGATAAAATACTGATATGAAGTATATGAAATATGAAAGGGACATATGAAAACTCCAATTTTTTTTTATTTCATCTTTTTTAATGAAAACAATTTATCTTTTTAGACAAGACTTGATTAACGTTTTACATGTGGCCTATAAAGTGCTAGACAAAACTTAGATTGTCTCCAAGGAATTTATCCACCTGTCAGACATATACGAAGGAGTGAACTTTATTTATCATTGTTGTTCTATAATGTCGGTGAAAGTAATAACACAATTGCACACACAAGTACATGCTTTTGTATGAAGATGTAAAAAGAAACATGAGACAATTTACTTCACAGAAAATTACAGGTACTGATAAAACAGATTTGTGGAAATCCCTGATACAGGTACATCATATATCTTAATAAAACCATATAACTGTTAAATGTTTACATTGAAAATTGACAAAAACCCTAATAGGCTTATTAACAAGGAGTGACCATAAACATTTAAAACAGTTCCAATAGTATTATCATCAACAAAATCTACATGTACAATATTTATTTGGTGACATGAAACAACAACAGCTGTAAATTTTCAAAATATATCTGACTATCTCCTAAAAATCTGATGTTTACAACTGCTTTTGTCAACAGCTTGGGTCCAATTTCTGTAGATAAATAACTTGTGTGAACCTTTACCTACAAGTACTGGGATAGTCACTCCTGGCCAGTATAGTAAAAATGATACAACCTCAGCCAGGGTTACGTTGTGTTCATCATGTGATTGTTTTGGTACCTACATGGTATTTATTGGATATAATCTTTATTTCCTTAAGGCATGCAACATTGACATATTTGTAGTAGCACTGAATGGTTGATTTGGGAGTGAAGCCATACTGAGAGGGTCATACTAAGTCTTAATAACACTACAAAATTTGTTAAATTTACTGAAAGAATCAAAAAAAAAAAAATTCAAAAAATGTTTCTGATAATAAAATTATGCATATTCTGGAAAGGAGATTGTTCATATTAATTATTTGATATTGATCATTCCATTCCTTATCTTAACTTTCTGTACATTTTAACACCACATTGTAACCAAGACACCATGGCTGTCAAGTATACTGCATTGTTGTTTTGTACTGATAACATTTTTAAAAATCTGTTTCAAATTAATTTATTTGAAATTATTAATAAGAGACCACAAAATGAAGTAGATGGTATTAACACAATCATTGTAACGTCCTTATAAGTTGTGTATAGCCAGATTGTCGCGTGTATTAAACCCTCGGTCGCAGAGTTGCTATAGGTGTTGATCAATACCTACATATCATTTAACCAACTTCAAAGTTAAGTACAATGTCTTGCCTTATGTTCTATCTCAGTTCACGTATTCATTTAAAAAGACTCGCGTTGTACAGATAATCAGAATTGTGTGTACTAGTAAGTCGATGGAACCAGGAGTGTACATTGTCAGCAGGTCTGAACCCTGTTCTGGTACCAGGGGAGGTGCATTATCTGTGTCTGAGAGGAGAAATATACTGCCTCACATGGGCTTTTACAAATTGACTTGTCATATCTTTAATTATCTAGGCCAGATACACATATACCAATTAGCTTGTCATAATAATGATTAACAGTCACACAGACCATGGGGATAGATATTAACTATCCCAGACTAATCAAAATCAAACATTTAGGTATATTTTTATATAAACACTACTAAAGTTAATATTTCAGATGAAGAAATAGCAGTTATAGGTTCAACAGATATCATAAAAAACTTTGGTAATTGTACCAAATTTTATGAATTTGTCATATGGAGTTTTTAAATACTCACTAGGTCAGGAGTTTCTGTAAATCCAGAGAAAAAATTCAATGTCTACTTTGAAGTATTCCCCACTGTACTACATTTTTAAGCACTGAAGTCAGTAAATCAGATCACTTGATTTATGTGATGGAGTTGTCAAAGCTTTCCTGGTCTTCTTCCATTTCCTCGGGTATGGCAGGAGTTTGAGGGACACCCCGATAGCTGTCTAGCCCACTGTTATCCTGGGGGGTAGGGGTGATACCCAATGTGGCAGATTCTCCCTCCTTGCCCTCTGATAATGGAGTACAGGTTCCACTTCTGTATTGAGTGTCATCATCAAAAAGCGTATCTGATTGGCTACTTGACACTGTCTGAGTATAAAACTTTCTTTGACTAGCTGACTGGTGCATGAGTAAGCCATTCACATGTTTTTTTAAGGCAGAGTTTAATCTCCTAAAAATCTTTCCCCCTTCAGCACGATTGAGGGTTATACGGGCAGTAGAACCAATCCTGGAGTCAAAGTTACGATCTAAATCATTCATTACCTTTCTGTCGTGCACCATATTGTCTATCGCCTTGGTGATCTTAGCTGTACGACTTTTTGCCGGCACTTTTGTGTCCCGTCCAAGTTTGGTTGCTGTTTCATTCCCCTTGTCACCACCAGTCTTTCGTCCGTAACTGGTTCTACTTTTGTCCAATGTTAATTTTCCTATTGAGTCTATATCAGTCTGTTTATCATCAGAATTTGTATCTCCATTTTGTACTTGGTCTTGAATGATTCTATTTCTCTGTCTTGACCTGATAGCCATTTTGCAGTCGTCCACAGATAAGACGTTAAGAAGATTATTTGACTGAGATCTCATGGACAGCACTTCTTGGTCTTTCACCTGTATGACATGCCCCCTATTCTCCATCCTGAATTGTGTAACACTACTCATTATCTCAACATCACTCAGGTTGTCCTCCTCCTTCTCCTCCTCCTCCTCCCTGTGGACACTAACCTCTCCGTTAGGGATGATCCCCTTAGTTGAGTTCAGTGTTGATCCTCTTTCCGTCCTGACACTGCGCTCTGTTGGTGCCTCAGCATCACCTGCGTGTGTTACCTGCTTTCTATTGATTCTTATTGATTTCCTCCTGGAGGCGTTTACTTTATGAAGTTGCTCTCTCTGGGCTGCGTAGTGTAGTGACGTCTCTGCTAGGTTACTTGTCACCGTTTGCATGTCATTTGTGGAGTTTGACCAGGCACTCCTGGGCCTAGGTCTCTCATGCCCATTAATCTGAAGAGGTGTGACTGTGCGTACTATTTCAGAAACTGGTCGGACATCTTTAGTTACTTTGGGTTGCAACCTGTCTGGCCTGGCAGAGCAAGTTTTTCTCAAAGTTTTGGATACATCTTTCCTCCAAACTTCAATTTGCTGAAGTTTATGAGGTGGGAGATAAGGCACCTTTGATGCCTTGCATACACGTCCATCTGCCTTTAGATGGTAGATCTGACTCCAGTCCTGGACTTTGGTGTGGTACAGCAGCGTCTGCTGGTTCATCATTTTTTTATGACCTGTCTCTTAGACACAAGAGTTTTATCACCACAGTACCTGGCTGGCCCTTCACACTCCTGTATACCATTTCTCCTGAAAAATGTAGCAGAAAAAGTTGTTGTAAGAATGAGAAATACACTCGTTATCAGATCTACGTGTCAAAAAACGTTGCTAAAAACAGATTAATACTGGCTAGTTTGAGATAACAGGTGCCCTGTGCCAGGACAGGGTTCTCAGGTATAGGCTGTTTGAATACTTGTCACTCTCACTCCAAATAATGATACCACGCTTTCATTATCTGTGTGCCAAACAAACAGATGAAAATAAAAGGCACTTCAACAAGAAACAAATGAGCTCTCCTCGAAGTACTGTGTCTGATGAAGTTTACTCAGTAGGTAAAATGTTCACAGGGATTTCTCAATTACATTCTCGTTTGTCAGATTGCGATGTAAAATCTCCAATACAACCCTTTTCGGGACTTTAAATGAGCATAATAATTGATTATGTACATATAAAATTTATTCCCAGATAAATATTAGCCTAGCCACAAAACACTTTTATTAGTCTTTTCCTTTAATAGTTTGGTTGTATTTAATCCATCATTACACAACCTTGACAGCAGAAACAGTTTTGTTGTTAGCCGGCTTGGTAGAATTGGTATGTGACCAGGTGTATCGGTGCTCAGTGCGAGGTCATCTATTGGGTGGTCAGTATTTGAATACATTATTAAACTAATCACATTAATGATATACCCAGTCTGTGATAATTACAACCATTGCCTTCTGAGTAGTAGAAGATAGGGTGTACTCAAGGTAGGCGTCAAAGTTTTCAATTCTCACTGATAATACCTTTGTATTCAATTTCAATTATAGAAGCCATGCCATAAAGGTTTCCCTGGGGAGATAGATAGGTATTCATTATTTACACAAACCAACTGATATTCCTGGTAAAAAAATGCATCTGCTACGACCCAAGGTTGCAATTAGCATCCAGTTACCAAGGTAATATAATCAGTATTAGCCTGTCACCTTGGGCTGTCAGTATGATAGCTCTACATTTTCACCTATATCAAATGGTGCTTTGTATAATTATCTGTGGCAGACATTATAGCTTGCTTCAGGTTGCTGTTTCATCACTAATTACCCAGTGAAAAGGTAACATGTGAACATAAAATTCATTAGTAATAGGAACAATAAACCTTCACATCACAGACTTTGATTACAAGTGTAGACAGCCTCAATGTAACACTGTCCTTCGGGTAAAATCATAGACATAACCCTACAATTTTTAAAAGGCAATTTATTAAAAATAAAATACCCAGTATGAAGTTGAAATTAATCTACTTAATTGATTCTTTATTAGTTTTATGGTTGAATTAAATGACTTCAATCCATGATTGCTATTGAACATTTGCCTTTCTTGATGATTCTATAGTCATTTGTCACACAAAGAGGGAATGTCGGGTAACTCATCAAATTTATAACGATGTAAAATTCATTTTATATCCAGATTATAAATAGTAGTTTGAAATGTCTGGGGAAAAAAAAAACTCAAGAATGATTATAACGTAATGAAATAGACATTGACTTTAAACCAGAGAGAATTTGGCCCGGCATGGCATTTGTGACTATTGAGTTAGTGTTTGTACATACTGAGAAGTCTAGAAATTATTTATCAATATAGAGCTGGTTGTATTTGACTTCACATTGGCTTTGCCTTTATCAAATTTATCCAGGTAATTGATTGAAACTAAATTGATGTCCCTCTGGTACATATGGTATAAATCTCAAACCAATAGCTTAGGAAGTTTACTTTTTTTACTGCTTGTATGCTTTAGTTCAAATGTTCATGTTGAAATATTTAATCACTTTAGATTATATTGAACCTATATCGAAACAAAGATATATATACTTTGGCCTTCAACACAAGATTTCTTTTTTGATTTTATTTCTGATGGAAGTTTTCCACCAAGGGCCTCATTTTAATGTCGTTATGAAAGTACGTGTTAATTAGAGTTTATCAGTCAGGGTCATCATTTTTATTTCTCAATACTTTTAAATGTTATTAAATATTAAACTTTAAATATGTTAGTGGGGGTTATTCCGACAGGGTTAACTTTTATACAAAAGTTTTATTATGATATTATCTCCCCTTATGGAATCAACTTCATTTCAGGTTTCAAATTATGTTGTGTATATTATAAGGTATATTAGATAACAATCTTTAAATGTCTTGTGAATATCAATTAATTACAATGCAGGCAGAATTACTCCCTGGTAGCTAATTCAAACTTTGATACTCTCTTGGAGGACCTCTCAGACAAATAAATTTTATTTTTTCGGCAGTATGATATTTCACTAGATACAGAAATTATTTGCCAGCAGGAGGTTCATGGCCCCTTTGACAGGAAGGATTTAGTGTGGTTTTCTGTCCACAAGGTATCTTAGATAAAATAAACACACAACTACACATTTGGTGACTAACCTGTTGCAAATCGGAGACTTTACAGGTTTTTTTTATCAATACAGGGCTATGTACAGAGGTTGTACAAAGCAATGACCTTCTCATATCGTTTACATGGATAGATCAGTTTGTGAGCCTCGACAAATGAAATAGAATTCAGAGAGCCATTGCCATCATTTAAAAGGAGTCCCAATGAACGAGGTCTCTTCCAACATTTGATATTTTTTGACCCTCGACTTATGTATTAATAATGAAACCATTGACTATGTAACCTGTCCTTCTAAGAAGCTATCATATATAATGCTCTATAATAATATTAAAGCTATTTACCCCTTGTAAGATCCAAGTTGACTAAAAATTTGATTTGAGATTTTCACCGAGACGATCATACTCTGCTCACATTGATAGGACTTACTGGTAATGATCGCAGTGAACAGATATCTTAATAACTTCGTATCAGGTTTGATTGATATGCGTAATAATCATTGTGTTAGTATGTATTATCCACACGATGGACACTGACTTATTATATGTGAAGACAATGGTTCATTACACTATACATGTTTGGCAGCGTGTAACATAAAACACTACAACAATTCAATGACAACTAGTCACAGCCTCACTGCACAATAACATCACATCTGGCTTGCTATTCTCACAACTTTTTTCCCACAATTTTTGTGCCAAAATTATTCCCGTTCTCGGGTATCTATAAATAAATTCTGTATAAATATAAATTATGGCCAATCGGTAACTGTGAAAGATTTATAGTATTTATCAATACTAGAATAAAATAGACTGTGAATCATTGATTCTCATTATGAAATACAAACCATTTCCCAGAGCTTGGAGAGGTAGACATTTTGAAATTCCATATATCCATCCAATATACTATCTTGAAATGATTCCATGTTTTTACCACATTAATGAAGTGTGTTTGCTTGAACACGACCACAGAATTAGTGTTGTTGTATCTGATCAACTTTAGTCATTCTTAGTCGGAATAAGTCTGTCCAAACGCTCTGTCATCAATAGGTGTTGAAAATTGTTATCTGAAAATCACAGACTTTGAATGAGTAGAAACCCAGATTCCATCTATTTGTTGTTTTGTTTTTGTGTTTGCTGTCCAAAATAGTTAGAACTTCCATTGTTGACCCGTGTGGGACAATGTGGGTTGTGCAGTGTGGCAGCGTGCCGGGTCAGTCGCACATCAGACCCATTGTCTCGAGACCATCCATACCACCTATCAGCAGGGTATCACTCCGACACCAATCAGATCCATCGCCCAGAACCGTTTTTATCTCTACCAATACACAGTCACCAAAACACTACTATATAGTGTTCAGCTACAAACACCACAATATCATCTGCTTTGTAACACCAGTCAACAGCACTGGCTTTTAAACCCAGGAATGGCATTTTTTGTACTGAATGATTTAACGTTACATTCCATTGTTCATGCTTTGACAACTTATTTCCTAATCATTCGCACTGATCAATACAAGGGATTTTTCGAGACATGAATTTGTGTCTTAATATCGTTACATCATTTTGACTTTGCAGCAGTGTCTACTCAGTGCACCATCAGCTTTTGTCAAATGTCTAAGTTTTAGTTTTGCTCAATTTAGCAATGTCTTCGGTTGATTGCCCTGGGACTTACTAGAGTCAGTGAATAATCCGTTTCGTTGTAAGATACAATGATCACTGTACTGCTTGGGACATTTCACTTTGGCCACTATGTCAATATAGAGTAACAGATTCCCCTGGGCAGGTGTATCCTGAGATTTTACAGTCAAAATCACAGCATGCAAAATTCAATATGAAAAGATTATAACTGTCAGTCTGATAGTATTGAAACAGAAAATTGGCTCCTAGTGTTCATTGTAGGTGTGTAGGCTGTGAAATCTAACCTCACTCACGACTGTTTGGTATTGTTTGTTTTTGTCACAAAATTATATCAGTCATTTTACTAAAGTGACTAAATAAACTTGATAAAAAGTTAAATGTCTTCACAGGCCATATGGCTGGGGCATAATCAGTAACTTGTAATCAATGTCTTCTACCTGTAATGAATTTCCTTTAACACCTGTACAGGTAAACTCTTGTTTAGAAGATACGGTATAAGTTTTAATAAAGTTTGTGTGGGATATCAACATCCATTCAGGTAAATCATATTAGTACCAAACAATCTTGTCTTACTCTTTAATCTGTAAATTTGATCTAAATAGGCGTGAGATGACGAAGAAGGGTAGACCAATATTCTGTTTACCTGTGTACATTACAGGTACATCTCTTTTTATCTGTGTACATTACAGGTACATCTCTTTTTACCTGTGTACATCACAGGTACATCTCTTTTTACCTCTGTACATCACAGCTACATATACTTGCATATGTTAGTCACAGCTTCATTGCTACATTGTGCTTACTTACATCAGAACATTTGTACCAACATCACCAGTACATCTTTTATGATTATTGCTTCTATAAACCTAACACTTTCGAGGACACAGGTATTGTGGTACATTATATCATAGATTATATAC